ACTGCCCACGCTCGCGACGTAATCTTCTACGAGCGCCTCTTCCTCGACCAGTTCCGCCACGACGAGCAGACGAATGCAAACCGCGTTTACGCAAACGATGGGCACAGCTACGCAACGCCCGAGGACGAAGCTGCAGCAGCAATCCTGGAGCAGGACACCAGGGGCGAGTTCACATGGGGAGATCGCCACAACGACGACAGCGACGATGATTCCTCTGGAGGAGGAATGGGCGGAACAGGCGGAAGCGGCAGAGGCGCAACACCACCAGCGCTACCTGAACCAGAGAGCGATGACGATGACGTGCAGGAAGTTGTCCCGCAACGTCGCCACGACAGCACTGTCTCAGGATTACAGCTGCTTGGGCTTTACACTGCAACCTCTAAGGCGCCACGTGTCATCGAGCCACGAAATCCGCGCCAAGCCCTCACTGGACCACACAGCAAGGAGTGGCGCGAGGCGATGGACGCGGAGATCAAGGCCCTCGAATCCAGAGACACCTGGGTATTAGTCGACCGCGCAGCAATCAAGGGTGCAAGAATTCTCTCGGGGAAATGGGTCTTCCGCGTGAAGACCTCAGCAAACGGAACGATCGAGCGCTTTAAAGCGCGCTGGGTGGTGCGTGGCTATGACCAAAGGCATGGGATCGACTTCGACCAGACGTTTGCTCCAGTCAATCGCCACACCTCCGTCCGAATCCTGCTCGCCATCGCAGCCGCAAGGCACCTGCCTCTCCGCCAGATCGACGTCAAGAATGCGTTCCTGTACGCATTAGTAGACGCTGTAATCTACGTGGAGTAGCCGCATGCATACGGCGAAGGGGACTCGCGCGTGTGTCAACTGCGCAAGTCCCTTTACGGGATCAAGCAGGCACCGAGACTGTGGCAGCAGTATCTGCACAACATTCTGCTTGAAATCGGGTTCAAGCAGATGCCCCATGATCCTGGGATGTACCGCCGCGATTTCCACGGCGAATACATCCTCCTCACAGTCTACGTCGACGACTTGCTTTACACAGGATCGAGCGAAGAACTACTGAAGCAGTTCGAGAAATACCTGGCGGGGCGCGTCAACATCACCTGCAACTACGAGGTGAAGCAGTTCTTAGGCCTCAACATCTCCTATGCGCCTGAGGCCATTCACCTCTCAGCGGCCAAGTACGCAGAGGAGCTAGGAAAGCGATTCAACATCTCACCCGCACCGCTCTCCACTCCCTACCGAACTCCGGGACCGAACCACAAACCTGACAACAAAGCCTTATCCTCTGCTGGAGTTCAAACTTACCAGCAACAGCTGGGATGCCTGCTCTTTGCCTCTATCACATGCAGTCCGACCTCTCCTACATCGCAAGTCAGCTGGCCCAGTACTCACGCAAACCAACGGCTGAGAATCTTCTGGACCTGCAGCGCGCCCTACAGTTCTTCGGTTCAACGCCCAAGATTGGGCTGTGTTACTCAACTGCTCCAACCCCATCCTTCAAACTCATCGGCTACGTAGACGCCGATCACGCAGCAGATCCCGACAATCGACGGTCCTGAACTGGCTTCCTGTTCCGACTCGAACCAACGGGACCAATCTCCTGGAACTCGCAGAAGCAGGAGTTGGTTGCCCTGTCGTCAGCCGAAGCGGAATTCATCGCAGCAACTGCAGCAGTTCGCGAAGGCCTCTACTTGCAGGAACTTCTGCAGGAGGCGAAAATTCCAGCTTCGCCCACCTTTCGTCTTCACTGCGACAACCAGAGCGTGATTCGCATCGCGAACAAACCTGGTTTCGTCAACCGCACCAAGCACATTGCGCTGCGGTATTTCTTCGTGAAGGACGAAGTGGACAAGGGCAAGGTTGACTTGACCTACTGCCCGACTGGTGACATGGCAGCAGACTTTCTCACGAAGCGATTGCCACGCCAGCAGTATCAGCACTGCTCTGAACTCAGCGAAGTGGTCAAGCGGGTCAAGTCGAGCTGCGGCCAGGAGTGAAGGGGGGTGTTACGAATAGTAATGGCTGAACATCACAAGTGCACTCCTCACCGCAGCTAAAGGAAACACGCAGTAGCGAGAACGAATGCGAGGAGTCGGAATTGACTCGAAGCGTCAGACGGTTAGCGTGGATCCGGACCGTCGGAGCAGACGGCATCAGGTAGCTGCAGTCAGGAGGAATTGGGCGGGAACAGTTTTTGTAACTGTACGCGCCGCACGATTGGGAATGAATTTGAATAAGGGAATGTACCCCTTAGAGTACATGGCTAGCTAGGTCGATTCATATTCCCCTGTACTCTTATTTATATCGCTGTATTTGCATGTTTTAATTCATCTCAAGCATTTTACATTCACTCTGCTATTGAGGTCAAGGGCCCACCACCACTAGACTAGAAGTGTGCGAACCTTCCTGAGGTGATCCTGGTTACGATCACTTGTTGATCGCAGCACTTGTGGCGAAGCTCCAAGCAATCTACAATGAAAAATGAACGGATTGCGTCCGTATTAAGGCCGCCTCGTGTCTTCGCTCCATTCACTTTGACCTTAATGGCGCCCCTTCAATTCATCTTGGTCTACGTATATTATGGCTCATTGGAAACCCCTTTCGTCCGCCGTAAACATGCCCACCATAATAGAGCGCTCCAACTTAATATTGGTGGATATCCCTCCAGGGATAGGGGAATAACGTGCTTTCCTACGTACTCCTACTTGGTAGTCGGTTTTATTTTTTTTCCCCTTATTCCTTGTTTGCTCTATGTATGGTACACCGGTTAAGACCGTTCAAATAACCCACACCAGAAATACAACCCCAGACGAAAACATCCGGACCAGAATGTTGACGACATCCCGGATGTGTTGTACCCTGCTATCGTGATACAGCAGTGTTGTATCAAGCAGGATTTATGCCAGCCATTCGAAGCACGCGCGGCCGTCTCCTCGCGAGGTGGGGCACGGAGTTGTAGCGACTAGAGCGGTTGGGCAGTGGGGCACCAAACATTTCATTCTGGCGATTGTGCAGTGGCTCCTTTGCGATGCTGTATTCTGGCGATTGTGCGGTGCGGTGCTGGTGCGTCTAGGGGGGTGCCTCGCAAACCCTAAGTCATGCGTGTACTACGGTTACATACCGTTTTTTTTCCGAACAACAGAGATTCGCCAACTTTTCCCAGAGAATACGAACGGCATGATCGTGATCACAATCACTATTGCGGATTCGGACCGCAACCAGGAAAAGGAGGGAAGGAGGACGTGCGACAGCCGGCATTTGACTCCGGGCTAGTAGCTTCTACTTGTAGCAATCCTTCTCCTTCAATCCAAGACATTGGGTCATTTTGGGTCACTCCTCCTCACAAGGAATCACAGGTATATGCTTCGCTCGTAGAACATGTGTCGTCATTGCTTTGATTTGGCTTCCAGTAGTTCTACTAGTGGTACTTTCCCAGGCAAAAACGATGACGCCCCGCCAGCGATCCGCCTATGATGCTATTGCAGTAAGTTTTCTACTAGTACTAGCTTTCCTCCTCAATCATGCCGCTTGCGTCGTGGCTGCATCCGATGCAGCCCTGCCTGAGCTCTCGTCCTACTCCAGCACGGCGCTGCTCGACCCGCGCTTCGAGCTCTTTTGGAGCATCAGCACAAACGACAAGACCATCCACATGGCCGCGAGGGCGCAGACTGTGGGCTGGCTCGCTGTAGGGTTGTCAGAGATTGGATCCATGGTTGGCTCAGGTATCCCCTTTACACCCATATGTTCCCCAAGCCTAGTAACTTCTATTCAGTCAAGAAAGATATGGGACATCTCACCTGCAGTCACTCTCCCCCCACATTGTGGAAAAGATTAGGCACTTAATGGGTTTACTACATCACGGTTTCAGAAATCGGATAGGGAAGTCCTGAATGCCACTACGAAGTCCTTGCATCTCTCTCTCTCTCTCTCTCTCTCTCTCTCTCTCTCTCTCTCTCTCTCTCTCTCTCTCTCTCTCTCTCTCTCTCTCCCTCCCTCTCTCTCTTATTCTGTGTGTACTAACCCTTTCGATTTTTTTTTTTTTTGCTACCAGATGTGGTGGTAGCGTGGGTGGCGGAGCGCGAGGGGCGCGTGTATGCAACGGATAGGTTTGTCTTCAACAAGACGGGGGAAGGCGTCGTATTGGACGCGCAGCAGGACTGGCGTGTGCTGGGCGGCAGCCAGACCACGGACCAATCCAAGGGCGACACGTGGACCACCGTGCACATGTGGTGCCAGCTGGATACCGGCGACTGCAACGACCGCCCCATCGTTGCCGGGGTTCCATCCTATATCATCTGGGCCATGGGTGAGTGTGAGGGCGAGGGGGAAGGCAGGCATGGTCACAATGGAGGTCTCGCAGGGAGAGCATGTGAGATGCAGTGGTATGGTGAGGAGAGCGAGTCATGGAGGGGTGAGAGGATGTGGACTTGAATGAGGGTTAGGTGGAACTGGTATGCTGGAGGCTCAACTTCAGCAGCCCACTAGTCCTGCGTGAGCACTACCACTCGTCCTCTCCCCCTATGCCTCCCTCTTCCGTCCTATCCGTCTGATTTCTCTTCTTTCGTTTCTGTTCCCCTACCTCCCCTCCTCTCTTTACCTCCCTCTATCCCTATCTCTCTCTCCTTCGGTCTCCCTCTCTATCTCCCTCCCTTTTTCCGTCCTCCCTCCCTTCCCCACCCTTTCCCTCTCTCTCCCGCTCCCACCCTCTCCCACGATCTTTCACCGTATCCCTCCCTCTCCCTCTCCCTATCACTTCCCCTCCCTCCCTCTCCCTCTCCCTATCCCTTCCGCTCCCTCCCTCTCCCTCACACACACACACACACACACCAACATACATCCACACACACACACACGCACACACACACACACACACACACACATACACACACACACACACACACACACATACACACACACACACACACGCACACACACACAAACACAAACCCAGTAACCTGCCGATGAGCTGACTTGATTAAACTCAGAAGTCTCCCCCTCTTCCTCCCCACTACCCCCCATGGCAGTGACTTTGCATCGCAGCAGACCATGCCCACCATGCCAGAGTATGAGGTCTTTCCCGGGGATGAGCTTCGCACCACGTGTGTGTGGGACTCCTCCGCTCGCTCCGCAGTATGTTCCCCTCGTTATGCCGGTTGCCATTCTGTAACTGTCCTGGTTACATGCATTGATGCCACATGGCACGTAATGTGATGTAGGTCAAACCTGATTGCCATGGATTAGGATATATTTGCATCGGTGTTTTTGCATCTTTACATGGTTGGAACCGTCGTGCCTTTGCATGTGGGTGCAGGTGACGCGAGGAGGGCCCAGCAGTGACGATGAGATGTGCATCAATTACCTGGTGTATTACCCGGTTACCAAGGGGCATGGTAATGCATGTCGATGCATGTTATGCGCATTCATTCCCTTGATGCACACTAATGCACAAGTATTCACATTATTTCACATGAGTGCACATAATTCATATCGATTTACATTGATTCATAATGTCTCAGCAATCATTCACAAAGTTTTGTTCATGCCCACTAGTTAATATTCATTCTAATTTCCCATGCCGTTCCCTATCCCTGCTACTGCCCTCCCTGCATACATGGTGATGTGCTTTGACTACTGTGCAAGCACCACCAACCACGAGAGTGGGGCTGGCAAGTCATGGTTTTAAACGTGTATAAAATCGCTCAAAAGCACATCTGCTTCTCCATGCCTCCTGCTCTCCCTACAGAGATGGTGATGTGCTTTGACTACTGTGCAAGCACCACCAACCATGCATGTGGGGCTGGCGAGATCCGCTACATCCCCACAAACCAAACCTGCACGGTCGACTTCGGCTCCAACGCTCCTCTCACTGCCCTCCACGGGTGCCCCACGCAGTAAGCCCCAAGCCCTCTTCGAAGGCTGGCTCTCTATTTGGTGCCTCAAAAGTAGGCTTCTCTTACTGCCGTTTACAGGTGCCCCTCACAGTGAGTACCAAGGCTTCTCTGAAAACTGACTCGTGAGTCGGCTAAAAATCATTCCTGATTTGAATCAATATATGCGCAAAAGGACTCCGATTCACACCCTACTGCACTTCTTCCTCGATTTGCTTGCTCATCCGTGCACTCTGCAACAATCCTATCTGCTAACATTCATGTCTGCTCTACTGCATTTGATTTCTCCTTGTGTGCTCTGCTGAACATCCTTCTCTGCTTTACTGAATGTGCTTCTTCCTCATGCTAGGGCTTACTCTGCCAAACCCCCTCACACACTATTTTCCATTGCTGCAGGTCGCAAGTGTCGCTGTCAGGCCTTGCTGTGGATACAATCTCATCGCCTCTGATTCCCACACAGCCACCATCTTCCCCGTTGCTGTCTGCTGCTGTGACTTCACCACCTGCTGCTGGCACTCCCAGCGTTGCAAGCGGCACCACGGGAAAGCCCGCACGCGCAATAATGGCAGCGTTCCCCACTGCAGTGTTGGTTCTTCTCTGCTCGGTTGCTGCGCTTTGGGTGTGATAGGTCGGCACTCCCAACGTTGCGAGCGGCATCACTAGAAAGCCTGCACAGCATCAATCGCGTCATTTCTGCCAGCACATACCACAGCACATACCATTAGGTGCGCCTGACAGTACCTGCTGACTGGACGCACAGCCTGTGCAGGGTTTGACTGCGAAGGAAATCGAATTTGGAAGTCATTAGCCTGCTGAAGTGAAAATCGTTACAGTGATTTGACACATTTTCAAATTCAAATTTAGCATGCACATATAATATATCCGTCTTTTTAGGGGGTGCGCTTATAATCGAGTACCGGCCATAAGCGCAGTGCTCCAGATGCGCAGCGTATGCGCTTTAAGTAGGCCTGCGCTTATATCCGGGGCCATATGGTGAACTTGATTGCAACAGTTCTTGGGGAGCCACTCACATCTGCCTACATACCATGCCCGTTGCATGCCCTGCTCTGCTCTGGTACTCATAATTCATGCACATGATAAAACCATATGGGTAGAAGATCCTGATGCTATTTTCTCAGCCCAACACCATCATTCCAACTGGCTATTGCTCACCTCACTACACCCTACAATCTGCATGATAATGCAACGGCGACACTCAAGAAGCTGCAGCTAAAAAACAAGAGTGTGACTGCCAGAGTGTGAAATGCCACTACTGCTGTTTTAACGTATACAGCCACTGCCAATAACTTCTAATAACCACCGAGTGTCAGGTATCGCCGTCAGCACTTGCCCACAAAATACTAAGGGTACATTAGGGACGTGACATGTCTAACAGGGTCCAACAGCTACACTACAACGCCACAATGAGAACAGAGAAGACACAAAAGAGTCCCACAGAGACCTTGACAAATAACGCTGGAGCGGCCTTGGTAGCGTTGGTGCTGCCAGTCGTGTTGTTGGGAGGGCTAGCAGGAGAAGGTGGTGCCGTGGTGTTAGCGGGCGATGACACTGGGACTGAAATGGCGCTGCTTGAAAGGTCAGCCAAAGAGCCAGCAGTCCTGCAAATGGGAAGATGAATGGGGGCAGGGGAGGCACGGGACGGGACAAACGGAAATGACCAAGGTGAGAGGGAGGACATAATGCAGCACAGCTCAGGGGGGCAGGTGGTGCACTGATGGTGGTGGTGTGAGACTCGGGGAAGGAGATTGCATTTCTGGATGTATGATTATGTATAAAAAAGAAAACAGGACTGGCATGGCATTGTATGAAAGGCCAGATTAAAAAGGCTCCAGACCATTGCGTGGGCGAATGGCAAGAGGCAATGGGGGGGGAGGGGTGAATAGGTGGCTCCACGATTGGAACCACACTTACTTAGCAGGGCAGCCGGTGAGAGCCTTGAAAGGCACATTGGCGCCATGGCTGATGTTGCACTTTTGTGTTGAGGGCACGTAGGGGTTCTCAAGGCCACCGCAAAAGTAAAAGGTGGTGAGGTTGGGGTTCATAGGGTTCATGTCAAATGTGTTGTTGACAGTGTTGAATGCCGCACAGAAGTCAAAGCACGAACCGAGCACTGCAGTGGAGGAAGGGGGACGGACAGGCAAGAGGGAGAGGAAGGACAGACTCAAGTTTATCCCTCCCTCACTCGCTATGTATCCGTTCTTTAGGCGCCCTCAAAAGCAGAGGCCTCGAAATCCGAGCACTGCAGTTGGGGAAGAAGAGGCATGGAAGAGGGAGAAGAGCTTGACATTGATCTCTCCTCCTGCTGCTCGAACTCCAACCCTTTCGACCAGTGTTTACCCCCGCTTCTAATCTCCACATTCGTCATCAATGCCACACACTCGCCTCACAGATGTCTACTCTCTACCAACCCACCACACACAACATCACAAAGTCCTACTCTCTATCCATTAACCTCTTGCACTGGCTTCACAATCCCTACACCCCCTCCACCACTAGTCCCTGCCCACTGCTCTCCCCATCGCTCACCTTGGGTCGGCCTTGCAGGATAATAGATGAGGTAGTAGACCAAACACATCCCATCACTGGTAGATTGAGGGGCGTTATGAAGATTGTTCCGAGCACTCTCTCCCGTCGCTCGCTTTGGCCCGGCCCAACGCTCTCCCCATCCCCCCACTGCCCACCTTGGGTCGGCCTGGCTGGATAGTAGATGAGGTAATCTACACACATCTCATCACTCGTGGATGGGCCGCCAGGTGTCGCCTGCGGATTGGAGAGCGGCAACACATGCGGACAAGACACGAAAAGGCAGATTTAGAATGCGGGTGTTGAAAACCAACTAGGGGAGCTGGGATGGCGAAATAACTAAAGGATGCGAGAGAAACTGGGCATGTGCAGCGAGGTTGTTTTTGAGACGTCTCAAAAAAAACCTCGCTGCACGTGGCTAAAGGATGCGAGAGAGACTGGGGAAAGGGCAGAAGAGGAAGAGAAAGATCAAGGGAAGCCCACAAGAGAAGAGACAACCCACACACACCCATTACCTGGGAGAGGGACGAGGGTCCCACAAACACACAGGAGGTCTTAAGCTCGTCCCTGCCCGGGCAACAGCTAATAGTGCGTCTTGAGGTGTCTCAACAGCTGGAACTTTTGAGACTCGTCGAGCGCAAAAAAAAAAAAAAAAAAAAGCCGCCTCATACGTCAAAGCTTTCGAGACAAATCATACCTCAATGGGCGAAAAGGGTGCCATACGTCAAACCTTTACATACCGGTCATGCCTGGGAGCGGGAGGAGGAGTCCCACACACACGTGGTCTTGGGCTCGTCACTGGGTAGCAGCTGGAAGGGCGTTCTAAGACATGTCAAAACTCAAAACTCTTTGAGACGTGTCATACCTGGGAGCGGGAGGAGGAGTCCCACACACACGTGGTCTTGAGCTCGTCCCCTGGAAGCAGCTGGTAGTGCGGGTAGATGGGCTGCACTTGCTGCGAATTGGAATCACTGTGACAGGGATTTGGGAGGGAAGAGGGAGAAGAGGGAAGAGCGGGAAGAGCGGGAAGAGAGGGAGGAGCAGGAAGAGAGGGAAAGAGCGGGAAGAGAGGGAAGAGCGGGAAGAGAGGGAAGAGCGGGAAGAGGGTCAGGAGGAGAGGAAAGAGAGAGACATGAGGCAGCAGCTGGAAATGTGGATAGATGGGCTGCACTTGCTGCGGATTGGCGTTGCTGCAGCAGGAATTTGGGAGGGAAGAGGGGGAAGAGAGGGAAGAGAGGGAAGAGAGTGAAGAAAGGGAAGAGAGGGATGTGAGGAAAAAGAGGGAAGAGAAAGAAGCAGAACGCATGGACACATGGACGCGTGGACGCGTGGACACGTGGACGCATGGACGCGTGGACGCGTGGACGCGTGGACGCGTGGACGCATGGACGCATGGACGCACCGAACCAAATCAACGCCAGCGCACTCACTAGTAATCGAGCCGATCAATCTCGGCAACCTTCTTCCCTCCCCTGTACGCTTCTGTATACAGCTGCCTTCCCAACATGTGCAAGTGCAAGCCCGACCCAATCACCGTCACTCCACTCGCATTCCGCAGAACAGCAGCCGTGCACGCGCTAGGGCACGTGGTGGTTTGGGTCCACGAGGGCATGCTGGGGGGGATGCGGATGAGCGAGGTGTAATCCACCGGACCCGTGAGCATGATGCCGGCGTCCGTGGGGCGAGGGGGTTCAGCTATCCTGAGGTAGAACCCGGAGTTATCAACGATGTCGGCACGCAGATCAGGATTGTTCAGGTGCACCTGGGGAGTGAAACAAGAGAGGGGGAAGGGGGAGAGGGAGGGGGGGAGAGGAAGGGGGGGAGAGGGAGGGGGGAGGGTTGAAGCCCTACAGGGTGCGTGGTGGTTTGGGTCCACGAGGGCATGCCGGTGGTAGAAGCCAGAGTTATCCACTTTATCAGAACGGAGGTCAGGGTTGTTCAAGTGCACCTGGAGAGGGAGCGAAAGGGGGGGGACAGGAGGGAGAAGAAGCAAAGAAGAGAAAAAACGTGCATATGTGATAATTATACACAAGTAATGAATATAACAGATACAAACAAAAACATATACATGAATGTAGTCCCAGACCAGGTCAGTGAAGCAGAGAGAGAGGGGGGGCTTTTTCTTCATGCTCAGATTGAGAATTCTCAAAATCAACCTACACGGATGGTGTGCTGTCAATACGGATCTGTGCTCATGAAGAAGGGCAGCAGTAGGCAAGGTCGCCTTTAGCAAAGGGACGATAGTCTACTAGTGAAAAAAGTAACCCTCGAAAAAGTTGATTAAGATCCGAACGCACAACTCAGTTCAAACTCTAGACGAAAGCAAACATGTTTCGGCTTTGCACGGGGATCATACCTGCTAGGCCTTCATCAGTGCAGGAGTTCAAAGTCAAAATCAACCTACATGGATGGTGTGCTGTCAATGGTATTGGAACGAAGACGAGTGTTGGTCGATTCGATGGCATCTCGGAAGCCCTCAAAATCAAAACGGATAAGTTTTGAACCGCACTGCACACACCTGGAGCATACATCTGCTGAAGCAGTCTGGAAGGAACAACGCACCTGGAGCATACATCTGCACTGAACCACTCCGCACCACACTAAACACAACACACCTGGAGCACGTATTTGGTGACGTAATCGGGCCAAGTGAAGGGGAAGGCCTTACAGCTTAGCCCACCCCATCAGGGTAGGTGAAGGGGCGACCGGCCATGGCTTAGAATGCAACTGAAATGCACTGAACCACTCCGCACTGCACTCAACACAACACACCTGGAGCACGAATCTGGTGAAGTAACCGGGTAGCCCACCCCATTGGGGTAGACAAAGGGGCGGCTGCCTATAGTCCACAATGCTACGGAACCGCACTGAACCGCTGTGCACCGCATCAACGCACCTGCAGCACGAATCTGGTGAAGTAACCGGGCCCCACAGGGTAGCCTACCCCATCGGGTAGACAAAGGGGCGGCCGCCTATAGCCCACATGGCATATATGAGTCGACGCACACTGCATTGTAACCGCACTAAACCACTCCGCACAGCACTCAACGCACCTGGAGCACGAATCTGGTGAAGTAACTGGGCCCCACAGGGTAGCCCACCCCATCGGGGTAGACAAAGGGGCGGCCGCCTATAGCCCACATGGCAATGGTTGTGAGGCAGGGGGGGGGTGCGGTGATGCAATCAAATTGACCCTTGACTTTGGCTATGTTTGGGTATTCCGCCCTGGAATGGGGGGTAAGGGGGCAGGGGGGAAGGGAAAGCGGGAGGAAGAAGGGGGGAAGGGGAAGGGAGAAGGGGAAAGGGGGAAGGAGTAGCTCAAAAGTAAACTCAACTGTTTACATAAGTGCTGATTTAAGCGACAAGTCACAAGCCAACTCAAAGGTCAACTCGGCCCTTGGCTTACTGAGAGTAGCCATAGACGATGGCGTGGTGCACGAAGGGCGGATGGGTGGAGTTGCGGAGCACACCGAACTCCGCGTGTTTTGGGTCGACTCAAAACAGAAGTCAAGTGCAACGACATATTAGTGCGACTTTTGAGAATTCTCAGTGCGACTTTTGAGAATTCTCAAAAGTCGAACTAATATGGGTGGAGTTGACGAGCGAACCGAACTCCGCGTGTTTTGGGTCGACTCAAAACACAAGTCAACTGCAAAGACAACTCGGCCCGTGGCTTGCTGAGAGCAGCCATAGACGATGGCGTGGTGCACGGAGGGCGGATGGGTGGAGTGGATGACCCAAGGAGCACCCACCACTTACAAGTGGCCGATGCCAATACAAGGCTGTGGTTTCTCGACTCAAACTGCGGTTCTCGACTCAAGGCTGCAGGCTTCTCAACATGTGGCTTACTGGGAGCAGCCATAGACAATGGCGTGATGCACGGAGGGCGGATAGGTGGAGGAGCGAACCGAACTCCGCATGTTTTGAGTCACTCAATACAGGAGACAACCAAAAAGACAAATCGACAACTCGGCCCATGGCTTACTCGGAGCAGCCATAGACAATGGCGTGATGCACGGAGGGCGGATAGGTGGAGTTGAGGAGCACACCAAACTCTGTTATGTGCACCTTGCTGGTGAATGGCAAGTCAAACGTCTGCGCACGCACGGAGTGGGAAAGAGAGGTGGAATGGGAGGGGGAACGAAGGGAGAAGAGGGGAACGAGAAGGGGGATCAGAAGGAACTCCGTTATGAGAGGGGGGAAAGGGACGAGGCGGGGACGTGGGGCAGAGACAGAGGTAGAAGCACTGGCACGGGCACGCGCACAGGCACGGGCATTGGGACAGGGACAGGGACAGGGACAGAGACAGGGACAGGCACAGGCACAGGCACAGGAACAGCCACAGGCATGGGCAGAACACACGCAAAAGCACGAAACTGCAAATCCCCCCTGCGGATCCCTGCGGCGACCTTACCTTGCACACATAAGTCGTGGCGTTATCAGCAGGCACTGCGAAGTTGCTCAGAGTCCAGTTCAGCTGCTGCTCCTGCCCGTTCACCTGCCCGCTCGCCTGCCCGAGATCCGCGGCGCGCTGACTGCCCGCTTCCGCGGACGCGGAAGAGGCGGAAGGGGGCGACGGGGGTGCAAGGATGGAGGGGGCTGGCGCGGGGAGCAGCACGAGCGCCGCGGAGCCACGAGATGACGTCCCATGGTAACCAAATTCGTTGGTTTCGCCCGTCGCCCAGATGACGTTCTGCAGTCGCCCGGCGACGACGGGGCGGTCGTTGCAGTCGCCAGTGCCCAGCTGGCGCCACACGTGCACGGTGGTCCACGTGTCGCCCGTGGATTGGTCCGTGGTTTGGAAGCCACCCAGAACGCGCCAGTCTTGCTGGTCGTCCAATGCGACGCCTTCCACCGACTTGTTGAAGATGAACCGATCAGTCACATACACGCGCCCCTCTGCGACCCATGCGACAAGAACATCTGTCGCACAGCATAAAAGGGAACATTTCAGAATCACTCTTGCGAGAAGCTGAGCAACTCTAGAACCGGGCGGGGTACACAGCGAGAATGTAAAAGTACGCAGACACTTATTTTGACGTGATTGACAAAACACACAGATTCAATCTGGTTGACGTGATTGACGTGATAAAAGGCAAAATGAAAAGAATCGTCATTTACCTTCACATTTGTTGAATTGGTCACCAACTCACCAGATCCTACCATCGTGCCAACTTCGGAGAGGCCTATAGCGAGCCATCCGGCGGTCTGAGCCTTCGCGGCAATGCTAATCGTTGCTGCAGTGTCGTTCACGCTCCAGTGCAGCTCGAATCCGTCGCTCAACATCGCCACGTTATCGTACGATGAAATATCCGGCAGAGCGACTGGTTGGCAGTTAATACTGCTGGCCGAAATGAGCAGCAGTACAAGACACGCCGCCACAGACCCGAAAAGCGGCCCACTAAACGCCATGTTGGTTGGCCTCCGAATGCCTCGCGGTGGGGTAACAAACACTGCTCGCAGAGCAAAGAGATCGCCTTTGTACGATTGGAGTGACGGTATATTCACGATTCCAGGATAAGCGGCTGGGTGAACCAACCACTAGCAACGAGAAACAGGCAGGCAGGAGCAGACAGTTCCCTCGGGATTTGGGAGTGCTTGAGGAGTTCTCGGGTTCCAAGGAGTACTAGCCTCGGCAGGAGAACCTGGAAAGGACCGTAGAAGCTTGAGAACCCCCCCCAGGCTGGGCCCCCTGCGGATCTCGAAAACATCCCGCGGAGCTCGAGGCTCCCCTCCCCTCGCGGAGGTCCAGAGCAGATCCCCTCCGCGGAGCTCGAACTCATCGCCCCGACCGAAGCAACGCGCCGAGTCGCCGCCAAGGTGAGGAAGCCGTCCCCCATAGGTAATCCCGAACCGAGTCCCGAGCCGACATTCATGTGTCCCCCGAAACGACAGCTTTTGTTGTGTTGATTATGAATCGCGGGCAGCACGAACGAAACAGCTGCTGGGTTCGCCGTCACGATTCGGTCGGTTTGTTGGGGTTGGGAGGAATACAGTGTACTACCACAGTACTGTGAACTTCGCTATCTGCCAGATCTGGTAAGCGAACGACGGCAGCTTCTAGGAGGAAAAATCGATCGACGCAACCCCCTCACCAAGGAACGGCGGCTTCTAGGTCGTCGCAATTCCAAAACTCCGCTTCCGCGGTTTCCTGCCGTGCGCTCCGCTGTCCTGCCCCTGGTTTTCTCACTGTACAGTCCACGTGGACCTGATCCGGCTGGGAGCTTGCGTACTGATGTGGGAATGTCGGGCACTGGATTTTAGGGCATGTTTTCTTTATGATGGGCGGAGAGAACCGCGGTTCGCAGGGCTCGAGAGTTCTCACCGCGGTTTTTGAAGTCACCCCGTGGAGCTCAAGACTCCCCTTTCCTCGCTGAACTCAAGACTTCCCTCGCTCAAGAGCAAACTCGCCGCCAATCGTGAGAGCCTGACAGGTTTCGTTTTGTGTGAGGTCAGGTGCGAATCACGGGCAGCAGGTTCGAAACAGCCGCTGGGCAGGCAGAATCACTGGCCGCCAATTGGGATGGGGAGGAATACACAGCTACACTACTAATTCGGCTGCCCGCCATCTTGGAAAGTGGCAAACGTCCTGGAGTGACCACCGCAACCCACATGCAGCAGCTACTAGGAGGTTGGAGGCTCACACCGCAGCTTCGTACCATGCCGCTTGCGCTGCCCAGCCCCTTTTACAGTATCGCAGAACTGTACAATCCAGTTGGAGGTGCTTACATGGGGAATAAAATGTCGGGGCTCGGATCGGGACCAGACTGGCACGAGGAATAAGGCCGCGTAACTTTTTCACCTTTCATCGTCCGGACGGAGGCCCCGTCCGGACTTCTGTTGGGTAACTAATTTCGTCACAGTCCGTTTAGATGTTCGCAAGACCCCCTGCGACGTCGCTACCGTCCGGACACAATCTGACACTTTTCTGCCAAAATGTGGTCCGGACTAACCTGCTGACTCCGTCCGAACGGCATTTCGGACGGTCCGTTTTATCTGCGCTGTGATTCGGCCACGAATCGAATGATTTTCCAACCAATACAATGCCGTCAAATTTTGGTGGCGAAATCCCTAAGTGCTATACGATTTCTGTAATGCGTGTTATTATTCGTGGCGAGATTCTACATTTTCGATAGGGGAAAAAAGTTGCACAATTGTGGTCCGGACGCCCTATCGTCCGGACCTGCTTCCCAAACGTCTGGACGGAGCTCCGTCCGGACGTTTTGGGGGCTCCGTCCGGACATATGCCAGAAAGGGAAAAAGTTACGCGCCCTAAAATGCGGACATCTGGACAGAAGTCTTGGTGAAAAGCTGGAGCCTGGTGGAGGGCCTTGCCTGGCATCCACAAAATGGTTGGGGAGGGTCCGGGGAGTACGACCGAATGCGGTTTTAAACGGTTTACAGTTAATCTAGAGAATTTTAAAATTTTATACAAGATGGTTGGGTAGGGTTTTCTGAGAATACGTACATTGTTTGACCCGCCCTTAGCATGACAAAAGATAACAGTATCTACACAACCAATGGTATGAGGAACTATGAGGGATTCAGTAGGCTCTCTGGTTTCAATTACCGTACTAAACGCCTTTGTTAATAAAGGCTATCGTTCAAATTTTCATACATGCACCAATCGTCCAACCATGGACAATACCAAAACACAATTCAGATTTCACAAAACTGAGGCTGTGGCACAGCTCTCTAACCATCTAGATAACGGTGCCGGGGGGGATCACAGCATCCTTGATGACCGTAACAATGCCGCTCTTAATGAAGTAGCCATCTGTCTCCCGAGCTGCCTCCTCCACCTGGTCCTTGTTGATGATCTGCACGTTGTCCCCGATGCGCGCATTCTTGTCAATGATGGCCTTGTGAATCACCACGTTCTTTCCAATGCCAATCGGCACGCCACCACTGGCAACCAGAGCCTCCTGTTGCTCCTCCGTCTGGTTGGTACAACAGAATCGATGACGCAAGAAAGGCAAAGGGAGGCTAAGTGGGGGGAAAAGCAGATGGAGTGAATGCAGGTGGAAAACCTGTGGCATTATCAGCTCAGCACCATGCAATTCCTCACATCATTCAGCATCATTAACACACTCACCTCACGACTAATAAATGCAACAAGGAGCACACTCGCCTCGTACGACAGCTCAACATCACACTACTCACCTCATAGTAATCAGCACCCATGACCAGCGTGTCCTTGATGATCGACCCTGCACCGATCTTGGCGCGAAGACCGATCACCGAGTGGTGTAGTTGCGAGTCCTGCAGCACATAGAGGATGCAGCACAGGAAACGAGGGGAATGGGAGAGCAGAAGGGGGTTAAGAACTGAAGAAGGAGGGAGGTGGTGTAGAATGAGAGCATGCTGTGTATCGAAGGCACACCGTCTCTCCATCAAACTACTGGTCAATGCAGCTGGTGGCAGAGGTGGCTACAGCCATCGCCCCACACACCGCCAGTCATCACAAGTAACATCCCTCCAGACTCGCCTTGATTCTGCAGCACAACCAGTGGCAGCTTGAAGTATGCCTGGGTGTGGATGGGTGCATTGCTGATGCTGCCTTTGTGAATCACTCCCATCTCACTCATCCCCTCCCACCTACAATGATGTCATCTCAGCCATTCAGCACTCACCTCAATGACGCATCCCTCGCCGATGACGCTCTCAGAGATGTCCACGCTCTGCAGCTTGGACGGCGGCAGGTAGCGCGCCTGGGTGTAGATGGGTGCAGAACGGTCGTAGAAGCTGAAGGGCGAGTCCGGCTGCGTCGTGGCGAGGTTGGCGTTGTAAAAGGCCTCGATGGTTCCAATGTCTTCCCAGTACCCATCGTACAGGAACGCTTGCACCTGGTGGTGGTAACAAGATATGACAATCAGGAGAAGGGGATGGAGAGAACAGGAGGAGTGAGGCTGGTGCTGAGACTGCCATCATTGCGGCCAAGAGGGGACGAAGAAAGTAGAAGTCGAACAGGAACACGCGATGAATGGAAACGGTGGGCAAAAGGGAGCTGCAGGTGGATGAGTTGGACGAAGAGACGGTGGGGATGTGAAGCAAGCACGAGAATCCATCTCAAGTTTTGAAACAACTAACAGCATGAGGAGAAGCTTCATCTCCATCTCCACCATCTCCTAACTTCCCCTGCGACCCTCCATCAGCGTCTCTCTTTCTCAACCTACCAACTCTTCCATCTCACGTCTCTGTCTCTACACTCCCGTTTCATCTTGCTGCCGCCACCATTTCCCACCTTACGCCATTCACTTCACCTTCCCCTGCCGTCTATGGCCTAACCAATCCTTGAATCCTTCACATTGGCGCCCTTCACGTCCCAGGGATGACTTCGGAGCCAGAGTCATTAGCATCAGTGAATTCCTCCGCAAACAATGCGGACCATGGCATCCTCGACTCTTTCACCTCACCGCCTCCCCATGTCTCCCCATGTCTCACCATGGCCCACCCCCCACGCCCTTGGCTCCCAGTGAAGCACTCGCTCACCTTGGCGCCCTTGGCGCAGGCCCCAGGAATGACCTCGGAGCCGAAGTCATTAGCGTCGGGGAAGTCGTCGGCGAGCATGCGGATCATGGCGTCCTTGCTGATGACGTAGATGCCCATCGACGCGATGTACGGCATCTCCTTGGCGCGCTCCGCGTCCAGCCCGAGAATCGTCGTGTCCACCTGTGGTGATCCGCGGAAGGAAAGGAAAGGGGGAGGAGAGGAGGAGGGAGAGAGGGGAGGAAAGGTGAGGCAGTGACGGGGTTGGGGGGGGAGGGGTATTTGGGGGAGGGGGGGGGGGAGAAGAACGTGGGCCGTGTTTAGGGGAAGAGGAACGGGAGCAAGAGGGGATGGGGAGGGAGAGACAGGAGCAAATACGGCATGCCTGGGAGGACGCGTCAGCCTTGCTTCTCAGCAATTCGTACCTGCATGGCCTTGAGCGCGTCGCCCTTGGGCTTCTCGGCGAACTCGACGATGCGGCCCGTGTCGTCGATCTTCATGAGCCCGAAGGCCTCGGCGCGCTTCTCGTCCATGGGCAGCGCGGCGATGGTGATGTCGGCATCGTTCTCGCGGTGGCACTTGATGAAGCGCTGGTAGTCCATGCGGTACAGGTGGTCTCCCGCGAGAATGAGGAACTCCTGCACATTCTGCTCCTCCAGCTGCCACAGGTACTGCCGCACCGCGTCCGCCGTGCCCTGCGGAGGGAGCGCGGGAAGACGACGGGGAGGGAGGGAGGGAAGGAGGAGGGAGGGAGGGAGGGAGGGAGGGAGGGAGGGAGGGAGGGAGGGAGGGAGGGAGGGAGGGAGGGAGGGAGGGAGGGAGGGAGGGAGGGAGGGAGGGAGGGAGGGAGGGAGGGAGGGAGGGACGACGTGACACTTGATGAACGGCTGGTGGGACGATAGTCCGTGCAGTAATCCTGTTTG